GAGCGGTCGGACGCTGCAGCAGCTCCCGTAGGAGAGCCCGGTCCTCGCGCTGGCTCGAGGCGATCCCGAGCAGAGCCTCGCTCTGCTGTCGCTGCAATGCTGTGGTGGTCTCCTGCATGTGAGCGAGACGTTGGAGGGCCTGCCCCAGCGGGGTTTCTCCTTCCGCCATGATGTCCCTGTTCAGGTGCCACTGTGAGCCTCTCCGCTCACACAGGGTTCAAATAGGGACGGAAAGAGCAGGTTGGTTTATCACAGGCGTTTATTAGCTCCAAACAAAGTATACACGGGTCTCCAACGTTGCCCGTGTGGGAACCTTCACAGGTCCTTTGGCGACCTTCCAGGATCCCGCCTACTGCAAAACAGACCAGAACCAGGTTACGACATGCTTTTATTCCGGCACTGATTACCTGATTCCGATCAGCTGTCTGGCCTCCGGCCGAGCCACTCCCTTCACACCAGCAGCGGCGCCCTAACCACACCCCGCTGCCACAGTGACCAAAATAGCTTTCTTTCATCTCAGAAACATAGCGAAGGTAAGACCATTCATAAATCACAATGATGCAGAGAAGCTAATTCATGCTTTTATATCTAGACTACTGCAATGCACTGTTCACTGGTCTCCCCAAGAAAGCTATTGGAAGACTCCAGCTCATTCAAAACTCTGCAGCTAGACTACTGACGAATACCAAAAGGAGGGAACACATTAGTCCTGTCTTAGCTACTCAACACTGGCTTCCTGTAACTTTCAGAATTGATTTGAAGGTGCTTCTCCTTACATACAAAGCTCTAAATGGACAAGGACCCAGCTACATTGCTGACTCTCTAATGAACTACACACCTGCCAGAACACTGCGATCATCAGGTCTATTCCAGGTCACCAGAAAGAGTCCTAAGAAGATCGGTGATGCAGTCTTTGTAAACTACGCCCCAAAACTGTGGAACACGTTACCCAACAATATTAGGGAAGCCAATACGTTAGGCATTTTACCAAAGCATTTGACTGACTTTACACTATTATACTGCACTATTTCTCTGTGATTGACATTGCACTATTTCTCTATGTTTTATTCCCCATGTTTTTATTTTTAATTATTTTATCCCACTTTATGCTTTGCTCTTGCTGCTTGTTTTACACTGATTTTATGTCTTATTTCTTACTGATGTAAAGCACTCTGAACTGCAATCCCCTGTATGAAAGGTGCTATACAAATAAAGTTATTATTATATTTACCTTTTTTAGTTCCGTTTTATTTCATATTTTGAGATGTTTATAGTTGTTCGACTCTTATTTTTCACATTATGTGCAATGCCTTGTTTTAACTGCTGCTGAAAATGTTTCCCAGTCTGATTTAAATAATGTATGCTGCTCTCTATATATAAATGCTATGTATCTGTGTGTTCCTGCAGCCTGGTGAACGAGCTGGCTCTGACTGCCAGGAAGATGTTCGCTGATGAAGCCAAGAGCAGCGGTCTGGTCAGGTAAAGCACTCTCTTCAGATCATACACTTTCACACCTGTGCCATCAGGTCAGGCTGGTTTTAGTTCATTTGGTCAGTGTTGATGTGTGTAGGCCTTTTCTCCTGGTCAAAAAGTGATCAGCTGCATCAACCTTTAACTTACAAATGTTTTAGACGAGTAGCTAACAGACTTTTTATGGATCACATGCAGAGACGTTTTAGTTTGACCAGTGTAAAATCAGGAATGTTCAGGCTAAGTCCCACTTTTTAATCTATTGAATCTTGTTGTTTATTAAAACCCCCCCCTCCGAATTAGACCTACTTTATATTACAGACCCCTGCTGCAAAAAACAATAGGGGCTATAGGCTAGAGTAGCTGCACAACTAATTGGTTCTCTCAATGTTTTAGCCACCTTATTGGTAATATACACTTTTAAGCCAAAAATAACAAGATCACCTCCATTTCAAAGAGAAACTTTTACCTATTTGTTAAGCAATCAGTCTTAACACTTTCCCTCGTGCTTCCTCCAGCCGAGTGTTTGCAGATAAGGAGGCGATGATGGCCGGAGCTCTGCAGATGGCGGGGGAGATCGCCGGCCGCAGCCCTGTGGCTGTGCAGGGCACCAAGATCAACCTCATCTACTCCAGAGACCACAGTGTGGCCGAGGGGCTGGACTACATGGTGAGAGCACAGACTTTACAAATAAGAAACTATTGGAGGATTTTTCTCACATCACCCCACCAGTCAGACCATGGATCAGCCTTTATCTTAATAAACACCTTGTTCTTTCTTTCCCAGGCCAACTGGAACATGAGCATGCTTCAGACTGAAGATGTGATGAAGTCCGCTCAGGCCTCCATGGAGAAGAAGAGTCCTAAGACCATAGCTTTCTCTAAACTCTAAACCTCATGAAGACACTATTCATAACCCGAACGCTGTCGTTTCACACCTCCACTGTGGCCTTTCTGTGGGCAGAGACCCTCGAGTGTTCCCAGCAGCCCACTCAGACCATTAGAGGGCGGTGTAATGAGACCTCAGACAGGATTAAACCCACAGTCTGAGGCCTTCGTTTCCAAAGTTCTGCATTATTGTTTCTGTAAAAACCTTTGAAACAGCATTTGCATAATGGGATACTATTCTTTTTATTCAAACTTAACAACTAGAAAGTCATAATGTGTGAAATGTTAAACGGTTACGTAAAAGGTGATGTGTAAGATCGTCCCTCGCTGTTTAATAGTAACAGCCAGTTTTGTAATTCTCTAATTGACTTCATGAATGTTTTTTCAACTCATCTGAAGGGAAGTGTTGACAGATTTAACATCCACCTTGTATTTCCTTAAATATTTAACACAATAAGGAGATTCAAATAACTTTAAATGCTTTATTGACAATACTTTTAAAATAATTTAAATTTACACCATGGAACTAAGTATACATTCAAAGTCATCACAGAGTCTTCTTGGCACGAAGTTTCCCTAAGGTTTTCTGTGAAAAGATAGTAGAAAAATACTTTACTCAGAATTCAGGCAAATCAAAACAAACTTTGGAGGATCACATTGTCTTTTGAAAACACTCAGAATTAAAGTGCTTTACCTCGTGGAACTCCTTGGCCTTCAGTCTGTTTTTTGCATACGCCTCCTGCCTGTTCCGGAGGGCTTTCTGATGCTTCACCTCCTCCAGCTGCTCGTACAGCCTGCAACACCATGGACCACACACACATCAATGGGTTGGCTTTAATGAAGTTAATACATTGGGCTGTTAGAGAAAACATTGGCTTCGGTAGTATGATAAGCAGTTTGAGCATTTATTTCATATCCTTCTGATCACACATCTGTTTTCTCCATTAGTTACACAAGAGAAAGCCAACATGTACAGGTGCATCTCAATACATTAGAATATCGTGGAAAATGTAATTTATTTCATTAATTCAATTCAAAAAGTGAAACTCATATTATATTGATTCATTACACACAAAGTGAAATAGTTCAAGGCTTTATTTGTTTTAATCTTTGATTACGGCTTACAGCTAATGAAAACTCCTCTTCACAAGGAGTGGACTGAGGCTGGAGTCAGTGCATCAGGGATCAAGGAGCTGCTGACGTTGTCTCTGGTGTCCAGCCACTCCTGAACCAGAGACAGCGTCAGCAGCTCCTTACCTGGGCTAAGGAGAAAAAGAAGTGGTCTGTTGCTCAGCGGTCCAAAGTCCTCTTTTCAGATGGAAGTACATTTTGCATTTCATTTGGAGATCAAGCTTCTGGAGTGGAGAGGCACACAATCCAAGTTGCTTGAAGTCCAGTGTGAAGTCTCCACAGTCAGTGAATGTTTGGGGAGCCATGTCATCTGCTGCTGTTGGTCCACTGTGTTCTCTCAAGTCCAAAGTTAACGCAGCCGTCTACCAGGACATCTTGGAGCACTTCATGCTTCTGACAAGCTTTATGGAGATGCTGATTTCATTCTCCAGCAGGACTTAGCACCTGCCCACACTGCCAACAGTACTAAGACCTGGTTTAGTGACCATGGAGATACTGTGCTTGATTGGCCAGCAAACTGGCCTGACCTGAACCCTATAGAGAATCTATGGGGTATTGTCAAGAGGAAGATGAGAGACACGAGAGCCAACAATGCAGACCAGCTGAAGGCCGCTGAAGTAACCTGGGCCTCCATCACCCCTCAGCAGAGCCACAGGCTGATCGCCTCCATGCCACGCCGCATTCATGCAGTCATTCATGCAAAAGGAGGCCCAACCAAGTACTGAGTGCAAACACATGAACATACTTTTCAGAAGGCCGACATTTCCATATTAAAAATCTTTTTTTTTTTGTTGGTCTTTTTCTTTTTAGATACCGATTGTTGGGTTTTCATTAGCTGTAAGCTGTAATCATCAAGATTAAATCAAATAAAGGCTTGAGATATTTCACTTTGTGTAATGAATCCATATAATATATGAGTTTCACTTTTTGAACTGAATTAATGAAATAAATGAACTTTTCCACGATATTCTAATTGATTGAGATGCACCTGTACATGTTAATCTTAAACTAGTGCCTGGTGCCTTCCTGGAGGGCAGACATGTTTATGGCCAGCCTTAGAGTCAGTTAATATTCAGAGTTCAGCAGAACTGACGGTGGCATGCATCATCATCATCAACATCATCATCATCGTGTTTTAATCAATTGCTCTGAATTCCCTTCACAGCATAGTTGTAAGAGCAAATCAGGATCTTGTCATAAAGCTGCTTCATTGGCTGCGGCACAATAATCACCATGTCGGCCTGAGGAACTCAAACTAGTGGCAGCATGTTGCATCTGACATGAGCCAATGAGTAGTGGCCCTTTGCTGCTTTTACTGTCCGTCTTCTACTGAATAATGCTAAAAGAAAACAGCCCCCAAAGATAAACGTCTATCGTGGTCCATTCCTGACTTTCATAGTGGAGCTCTGCAACGGCTATACAACTTAACTAGTGTTCTAACATCAGTTGTTGGGCGTTAACAGTGAGAAGTTTTAGTGAAGATAGAAGTATTACTATTAAACCTTCATGTACCTCTGAGTTCTGCTGTGCATTACAGAAGCTTCCCGTTTCCTTTGCTCTGGTGTGACGTCCTTCACCTCGTCCTCCAGGTCCAGCCTGGGACCCCCCACTGAGGGGACAAAAACATGGCACAGGATGTTGATGTCCACTTATGGCTGACAATCATTTGAAAGGTAGTCATACTCCTATTTCAACACGGTTCTGTTAACGTAAGACCAATACATACTGATATATATTTTAAAGTAACCTAATGAAGGATTTAGGCTACAGACGTATAACTGGTATCAGAAAACAGGGAAACTACAGTAATACCTTATTCTATGCTGTACCTAATAGGTGCACGTGAGCCTTTGTACAATCTCTTTCATTGTAAACGTTTTCTCATGCATTCAATAAAGAGCAGAAGTGACTGGGTGTTTTGTACATATTACAGAACACTTCTGATGTTTTTATTCTAGCTTTCATTTGTTTAAAGAAAGTCCTTACCAAAACCCTATCTATCGCTGCTTTCATTCCAAAAAGGTCAGATGTGCACATTCGAGTGATACCATTTCTATGAACACAACTTGATTTAGAGGTCAAAGTATTTGTATCAGTTTTACCCATTAGTTGTTAACTAATATCTTACAACTGATTTAGATCACCAGATCAGAAACCATCACCTTGAATTTTGGAATATGAATGACTTCTGGACTAGCTGTTTTTATGTCACAAAGGAGACACAAAATGTGTGATTGCTAAGATACCCCACCAAGGTATACTTTGTCTTTTAGGCGGTGCTCGTACATCAATGTGATATGACCCAAAGTGTCAAATAGTATGATATTATATTAGGTTAATATACCTGGAGGGGGATGCAGGGTCTTTTTCTGCGTGATGATATCACATTCCTCAGTAGTTGGATGCAGCTCAGCCTGCCCCCCCTTCACCTTGGCATTAGGCTTTTGTTGAGGTTCGGACTTCTTGTTTGCCTCACAGGTGCCTGGTGGAGATGCTTTTCCTTTAGACTTCTCTCTGGCTTCAGATGGACCTTGGATCTCAGGTTTCACCTTGGCTAGAGCCCTTCTGGCCTTGATCTCCTCCACTCTGAGGGAGGATCTCTGCTGCAGGGCTCTGAGCCTCTGCTGCTGGACCTCCGTCACCCCCCCTGCCAGGACCACACTGAGAGTCTAGGGAGGGAAGGGTTCTCAAGTTCACAATGTTCTGACTAAAAAGGGAATACATCTGTGTTGTATGTCAATTACTATAACTTTTTTATTCATGATCATATCCATATTTAAGTCCAAAGCAAAAATCCCCACAAGCAGCATTACCAACAGTTTATTATCTCAGATATGTTCAGTCTGTAAGTGCTGTGGTTACCTGGGTGTGTTTGGTTGTTGTCCTCTGGAGGGTCATTCAGTGACAACGTGGACCGCGGCCCCTGCAGAAGACATGGTTTGTGTTTAGAGATCACAGGGAAGCCTTCCGCTGAAGTCTAAAACATGTACAGACAGTCACCTCTGTGGGCTGGCCTTCCTCCCCCCCCTCTGTCCCTCCCCCTGGATGGGGGTCCTCCTCAGTGGTGTCGTGGTCCTGCAGTGTGGTGTCTGCCAGGCTCACAAGTGTTATTTCTGACTGGTCCAGGATGCCCTTCTCTCTGGCAGCTTCCTACACACACACACACACACACACACACACACACACACACACACACACACACACACACACACACACACACACACACACACACACACACACACACACACACACACACACACACACACACACACACACACACACACACACACACACACACACACACACACACACACACACACACACACACACACACACACACGTTGTATTACTAGAAAAGTGCACGTAGTAACAACTTCAATCTTGCTCAGCTGCTTCCATGTTTCCCTTTACAGACAGTCAATTGGGAAAGATAACATAACAATTATTAATTCATCTCGTTTTGTATTTATTGAATCATAATATATCAGGTATGGAAATAAAATGCAGATGCTCTGTCTTGAAAGGCTTGTTTTGAGCCTTGAGCTGATTTCTGCAATGCCTTTTGCCAGTGGTGATAAGATGTACATATCAAAACCCAAATTGCACTGGGAACTTTGACACGTTACATAGTGTTTCCTTTTAGGGCATGGTAATAGTCAGTGCATTTCTAAAAGACAACGCTTTTTCAAAGTTTATCAAGGTGAAAAACACAATCTTACCAATATCCCCTCAGAGAGGTCACTGAGTGGGACTGAATCTCCACCCCTAACAGAAATGGAGTTTCTGCCTTTATCTGCTTCGCCCACAGTAAGTGAATCATCACAAATGGCTAATGCAGTCAGCTCCTCCTCAGATTCATGGGGGTGGCACTGGGAAGTGATGAGCTGAGAGAAGGATCCATGCAGGGGGGGGGCAGCCCTGCAGCTGGCCGGCTGCTCTGCTCGGAGGCGCTCAGGGGACGGCTCAGACTCAACAGAAGGATCAGAGCTGGCTTCAGACTCCTCCCCCCTGCTGTGTGGCCGTCCATCAATACAGCTAGGCACATGGTGGTCAGGTAGGTGAAAGGTCATGGAGGGGTCTGCTGTCTCGTTGTGGGGGACCTCCGCCAGTAGCGGGTGGAATGAGTCTGAACCAGATGGGGATAAACATGAAGATGAAGCACATCGTTTCTTACTGGGTAAGACAAGTCATGCAAATATAAGAAGGCTGACACATTTAGTTTCCTAAATCAAACTTTAACTCGGCTGAAGTTACATATTGTGCATGGTTGTAATATACTCCCCTTGATATAACCATCATAAGGTCATTTTAGAATTGGCTGTAATGACTTGAATGGTGTAAAGCTCACCTTCAGTCCTCTCTGGACCCCGGTCTGGTGGTGATGCTGCCTGTATGAGCAGGGTCTGCTGCAGTGGACTCACACCTGGGGGAGAGGCGCTGTGGGGCCAGGCTTCAGGAGGAAACACTGGGTAAGACGGCGGCACACTGGCCTCAGTTGAGACACCAAGATCAGCGTGGGTTCGTTCATCTGCAAAACATCAGATGAGATGACGAACACTCTAAACCTCTTCTCCAACTTTGAGAAAGTGGATAAGCAGACAAACAGTACATTAAAACACTTTGTAATCTCCTGCTGCCACCAAAGCTTCAGTCAGATGAGAGGACGACTCTATACTTCTGAATGACCGTTCATGCAGCTTATAGAAAGTCCTCTTTAAAGACACATGTTATTTGTATGAAAGCAGAATGCTGAACATCCAGACTGACAGTGTAACGGGCAGAGTAACTAAGAGCCTCTGAGCAACAGTTCAATAAGAACAGAAGAAATCAGCAGTCATTGGCGAGAGAAGCTGTTAGCTTAGCATCAACATGTGTGCTGATTTAAATAAAAAAAGCTTTCTGGTCCAGTGTCAAGTGTACAATAATACCTCTAACAAGCTGGACTGAACTGCTCTAGCAAAGCTGTTCTTTAAACTTCAACAGAAACAGAATGTTAGTGGACGCACTGTGTGAATATCAGCTGGACATGTGACTGACAGATCACAGTTTAAAGCCAACACTGAGTGCAGAGGGCTCTAAGAGAAACTCAATATTTAGAGTCCAATCTAAACTTAGAGATTTCATATTGATAGCTAGTCACTAACAATTCATGTCACACTGTGGGGAAATCATCTAAGATCAAAGATGTAATCATTTCATTCTCCTCTTAAGAAAATCAATGATGTTATCTCTGTTCAAATGTAATGAATAAAACAAGAAAAAGTGTAAAGAGATTCCAAACTTTTGAACATCAATGTATTTTCTGATTGTGATCACTTCATGCTGCTATAACCCGGTATAGAGCAATTCGCTTTGGACTCAACTGCATTTCATCCTAAAGAGCTGTGTGAATAGATGTTTGAGTGCCAACAAACATACAGACTGCCATCAGTACACGTTTAAACATGGAACAGTGCTTCTACAATAACTGCAAACAGTGGCGGCTGGTGGAAAATATTTTAGGTGGGGCTGTGGAAATGGTGACCAAACAATACTAAGGGGGTCCGGGGGGATCTTGGGTAATCGCTCGAAATGCCTACGTCTGTTTCCGGTTATTTTTATTTAGAAATTCAGTTCCTGACGGACGCCAAAAAAGCCCGAGATTATGGAATTAAACCAATAAATAAAAGCAAGGATAATTGTGTGTTATTGGTGAGTAAATAACAGTGTGTTATTTTGAAAAGAATAACAAATTAGAAGGAAAAAAAGATTTAAAAATACAGATTTCAGTATTCTGAGGCTCTGAGCCCCATTTATTTTCCTCACAGACGGCAACAAAAGTCCGAAATTATACGATTTAAAATAAAAGCAATAATTGTGGCTTGATATTGAGTAAGAACATGTTTTTATGAACCACACAGCTTCAGGTCTTCCTCGACCCGACCGGAGAAAAATACGTGCTGCAGGCAGTAGAAATACATTGCTTTTAAAATCGTGCTGTGCAACACGAAAAAAAGGGGCAAATCGTGTTGGGGAACACGAATCAATAGATTAAAAATCACGAAATGCCATGAGACTGGGTTGGCCGGCCGCCACTGACTGCAAAAGATGAGAAATGGTTGTAAAGAAATTATTCAAGTTAACCAGTGGAAGGTTGGAGTCTGTTTATTATGAAGTCCCTCCTTTTACCTGAGCTGGCTCCCTGCCGGCCTGCTGACTCGTCCAGTTCCCCGACCAGCGGCCTCATTCCGCTCCCCTCCAGACCCTCCTCCGACCACGCGGCCGACTGCTCCAAAGGCACACGGCCCATCAGCTGACCTGCATAAAAGTTCTGCCCACCACTCAGCCAATGAGAGCTGGACTGATGGGACAGTCGCCCAATCATCCGGCTCAGAGTGGAGTCCCAGCCGCCGTGATCAAAGCTTGTCGAGATCGGACCAGGTAGCTGACCAATCATGGAAGAGTGAGCCGATGGTTGACCTACCAGCTGCTCCATGGCCGAGTCCATGTGGTCAGCAGCAAGACAGGATGACTGGTCCGTCAGCTGGCCAATCAGAGGTCTGAAGGAGTCCTGCTCGTGGTCCTCAGCTGGTGACGGCTCCTCGCCTGACAGCGGCTCCAGGACTGGAGGGACTGCAGTGTGGCATTCCTGGGGCAAAAACAAATCATGTGAAAAAAAGAAAATCAAAGTTTTTAACTGACTTTCATTCATAATGTGCCGTGGTGTAAGAACAACTCAGGGTTATACACATTCTGATACGTTCTTATGGGAAAAAAATGTGTTAACGTCATCAGAGACATGAAGAAGAGGGGACACATGTTGATGTAGAAGAGACATGAAGAAGAGGGGACACATGTTGATGTAGAAGAGACATGGAGAAGAGGGGACACATGTTGATGTAGAAGAGACATGAAGAAGAAGGGACACATGTTGATGTAGAAGAGACATGAAGAAGAGGGGACACATGTTGATGTAGAAGAGACATGAAGAAGAGGGGACACATGTTGATGTAGAAGAGACATGAAGAAGAGGGGACACATGTTGATGTAGAAGAGACATGAAGAAGAGGGGACACATGTTGATGTAGAAGAGACATGAAGAAGAGGGGACACATGTTGATGTAGAAGAGACATGAAGAAGAGGGGACACATGTTGATGTAGAAGAGACATGAAGAAGAGGGGACACATGTTGATGTAGAAGAGACATGAAGAAGAGGGGACACATGTTGATGTAGAAGAGACATGAAGAAGAGGGGACACATGTTGATGTGGAAGAGACATAAAGAAGAGGGGACACATGTTGATGTAGAAGAGACATGAAGAAGAGGGGACACATGTTGATGTAGAAGAGACATGAAGGAGAGGGGACACATGTTGATGTAGAAGAGACATGAAGAAGAGGGGACACATGTTGATGTAGAAGAGACATGAAGAAGAGGGGACACATGTTGATGTAGAAGAGACATGAAGAAGAGGGGACACATGTTGATGTGGAAGAGACATAAAGAAGAGGGGACACATGTTGATGTAGAAGAGACATGAAGAAGAGGGGACACATGTTGATGTAGAAGAGACATGAAGGAGAGGGGACACATGTTGATGTAGAAGAGACATGAAGAAGAGGGGACACATGTTGATGTATAAGAGACATGAAGAAGAGGGGACACATGTTGATGTAGAAGAGACATGGAGAAGAGGGGACACATGTTGATGTAGAAGAGACATGAAGAAGAGGGGACACATGTTGATGTAGAAGAGACATGGAGAAGAGGGGACACATGTTGATGAAGAAGAGACATGAAGAAGAGGGGACACATGTTGATGTAGAAGAGACATGAAGAAGAGGGGACACATGTTGATGTAGAAGAGACATGAAGAAGAGGGGACACATGTTGATGTAGAAGAGACATGGAGAAGAGGGGACACATGTTGATGTAGAAGAGACATGAAGAAGAAGGGACACATGTTGATGTAGAAGAGACATGGAGAAGAGGGGACACATGTTGATGTAGAAGAGACATGAAGAAGAGGGGACACGTGTTGATGTAGAAGAGACATGGAGAAGAGGGGACACATGTTGATGTAGAAGAGACATGGAGAAGATTGGACACATGTTGATGTAGAAGAGACATGAAGAAGAGGGGACACATGTTGATGTAGAAGAGACATGGAGAAGAGGGGACACATGTTGATGTAGAAGAGACATGGAGAAGAGGGGACACATGTTGATGTAGAAGAGACATGAGTCCCCTCTTCTTCATGTCTCTTCTACATCAACATGTGTCCCCTCTTCTTCATGTCTCTTCTACATCAACATGTGTCCCCTCTTCTCCATGTCTCTTCTACATCAACATGTGTCCCCTCTTCTTCATGTCTCTTCTACATCAACATGTGTCCCCTCTTCTTCATGTCTCTTCTACATCAACATGTGTCCCCTCTTCTTCCTGTCTCTTCTACATCAACATGTGTCCCCTCTTCTTCATGTCTCTTCTACATCAACATGTGTCCCCTCTTCTTCATGTCTCTTCTACATCAACATGTGTCCCCTCTTCTTCATGTCTCTTCTACATCAACATGTGTCCCCTCTTCTCCATGTCTCTTCCACATCAACATGTGTCCCCTCTTCTTCATGTCTCTTCTACATCAACATGTGTCCCCTCTTCTTCATGTCTCTTCTACATCAACATGTGTCCCCTCTTCTTCATGTCTCTTCTACATCAACATGTGTCCCCTCTTCTTCATGTCTCTTCTACATCAACATGTGTCCCCTCTTCTTCATGTCTCTTCTACATCAACATGTGTCCCCTCTTCTTCATGTCTCTTCTACATCAACATGTGTCCCCTCTTCTTCATGTCTCTTCTTCATCAACATGTGTCCCCTCTTCTTCATGTCTCTTCTACATCAACATGTGTCCCCTCTTCTTCATGTCTCTTCTACATCAACATGTGTCCCCTCTTCTTCATGTCTCTTCTACATCAACATGTGTCCCCTCTTCTTCATGTCTCTTCTACATCAACATGTGTCCCCTCTTCTTCATGTCTCTTCTACATCAACATGTGTCCCCTCTTCTTCATATCTCTTCTACATCAACATGTGTCCCCTCTTCTTCATGTCTCTTCTACATCAACATGTGTCCCCTCTTCTTCATGTCTCTTCTACATCAACATGTGTCCCCTCTTCTTCATGTATCTTCTACATCAACATGTGTCCCCTCTTCTTCATGTCTCTTCTACATCAACATGTGTCCCCTCTTCTTCATGTCTCTTCTACATCAACATGTGTCCCCTCTTCTTCATGTCTCTTCTACATCAACATGTGTCCCCTCTTCTTCATGTCTCTTCTTCATCAACATGTGTCCCCTCTTCTTCATGTCTCTTCTACATCAACATGTGTCCCCTCTTCTTCATGTATCTTCTACATCAACATGTGTCCCTCTTCTTCATGTCTCTTCTACATCAACATGTGTCCCCTCTTCTTCATGTCTCTTCTACATCAACATGTGTCCCCTCTTCTTCATGTCTCTTCTACATCAACATGTGTCCCCTCTTCTTCATGTCTCTTCTACATCAACATGTGTCCCCTCTTCTTCATGTCTCTTCTACATCAACATGTGTCCCCTCTTCTTCATGTCTCTTCTTCATCAACATGTGTCCCCTCTTCTTCATGTCTCTTCTACATCAACATGTGTCCCCTCTTCTTCATGTATCTTCTACATCAACATGTGTCCCTCTTCTTCATGTCTCTTCTTCATCAACATGTGTCCCCTCTTCTTCATGTCTCTTCTACATCAACATGTGTCCCCTCTTCTTCATGTCTCTTCTACATCAACATGTGTCCCCTCTTCTTCATGTCTCTTCTACATCAACATGTGTCCCCTCTTCTTCATGTCTCTTCTACATCAACATGTGTCCCCTCTTCTTCATGTCTCTTCTTCATCAACATGTGTCCCCTCTTCTTCATGTCTCTTCTACATCAACATGTGTCCCCTCTTCTTCATGTATCTTCTACATCAACATGTGTCCCTCTTCTTCATGTCTCTTCTACATCAACATGTGTCCCCTCTTCTTCATGTCTCTTCTACATCAACATGTGTCCCCTCTTCTTCATGTCTCTTCTACATCAACATGTGTCCCCTCTTCTTCATGTCTCTTCTACATCAACATGTGTCCCCTCTTCTTCATGTCTCTTCTTCATCAACATGTGTCCCCTCTTCTTCATGTCTCTTCTACATCAACATGTGTCCCCTCTTCTTCATGTATCTTCTACATCAACATGTGTCCCTCTTCTTCATGTCTCTTCTTCATCAACATGTGTCCCCTCTTCTTCATGTCTCTTCTACATCAACATGTGTCCCCTCTTCTTCATGTCTCTTCTACATCAACATGTGTCCCCTCTTCTTCATGTCTCTTCTACATCAACATGTGTCCCCTCTTCTTCATGTCTCTTCTACATCAACATGTGTCCCCTCTGTGGAAAGAGACTCTGAAAGTTTCAGGAACAAAGATTCTCTCTCTTTTTGATCCATTTCTATAAAAACCTGTCTGAAAATGAGCTGATCAGATTTTGGCCACTTGATGATGTCATAACGATGTGTTGTCTTGTGTAACCATTAGCCAATCAGCAACCAAGGTAACCCCCCCCCCCTTTTCACCTGGATCTCCTCCTAGAGCACCATTGAGTTCTTTGTAACCAAATGTCTCTCAGAGGGGCGTGGGGAGGGGCTCCTTATTTTCATCTAAAGTAACAGACAGAGAATCAGCACTTTGGAAACAGGGCTGAAACAGAGGGGATTATGGGATGCTGCAATGATCCGTTTGGTGTTTCAGCCAATCAGAGACAGGTTTTGGATATATCTGAGACCTGTGATATATGAATGAAAAACAGTATAATAGGAGACCTTTAAGTAAAAATACAAAAGTATTTTGATAAAAACACAATGAATGTAAAAAAAGTAAAAGATGTAACTGTGTAGAGCGGCTAAATCATGAAAAGGAATCCCCCTCAGATCACCCCTCACTGTCCAAGCAACTCAGAGAAGTACGGTGGCCTTTAGGTCACAAAAAAACAAACACAAAAAGCCCTCTAGAGCCAGAGTTTGGTCTGTCCTCTCTAGTCTACTGTAAGAATGTGAGTCACTGACCAGGCCCCTCCTCTGTGCTGCTGCCCAATCTGAGGGAAGAGACTGAGGGGAGGTGGAGCTCTCACTCCCCCCTCTCCTCTCCGGGACTCCAAGCAAAGACAGCTGGGAGACTGAAGAGCCAGATTCCTCCACATATGAGCCTTCACTGTCTGAAGACCAACAAAGACGACAAAAGACTATTAACATGCTGCAGTCTTCTGATTTGACATTTTTGGACTGTTCAAAAGGGTGTCGTTTACAGTACCTGTGGTTCTGCCAGCAGTGCTGAGGGAGATGTTCAGCTCCTGTGTGTATTTGTCTATGATGTGCTGGATGCTGCTGTCATTAAAGAGAGAGCCTACAGAAAGGGCAGGACGGTCTGCAGGGGAGCGGTCCTTAAAGCAGACGCTCTGACCGGGTGGAGAGAACACATGGAGCGAATCTGCTCCATGCTCCGGTTCTACACACCGTCTGAGCAGCGGGCATTCATCTAATGAAGAAGTGGGAGAGGAAAAGAAGGAGAACAGATTTACGCCTCATAAAAAGTTATAAAACACAACATCATTCATTTCACAAGTTAAACTAGAATGACAGGTATAATCATGAGCCATAATGGAGAGATGTGAAATGCAACACCCCAATACGCCTTAGGAAGCTTGCGAACAGGGTTCCAGCTGTACACATTATATATCATTTCAAACATATGGAATTGAGATAGTTCACGTATTATTCCGAAACATTACAAACCAAAATCATATGCCACACCGCATTTCAGAGGGAAGCTAACTTGTCGAAGTCCACAGCCATTCAGCTTCAATCATCTCTGACATTCGCTGGAAGCACTTTTTAAAAAGACAGACATTTGTGTCTCTCTGCAAATCACACTAGAGCTTGTACATTTAAGATTGCGCTTTTGGTTCTCATAAAACCCCTATTCCTAGTTTGCATGCAAGGGTTAAAGAGTTGGGATAAGGTCACACGGTCTGTGGTTTAGCATATTTCCTACTTTATACATGAAAGATATTGCATTCAGTGAGCCACCTGGTGTGTGTACATACTCATCATCTGGAGCTTTGCAGCTCATACACTTATTATATTGCTTCATATTTGGACTGACCCAATCAGATTCTCTGGTGAATAATGAAGAGCGAAACAGATCTTTCTGGTAAGGCCATTTCAATTCTTCATCTTTTCCAATTAGATTTGGCAAAGAGGTAAAAAAAAAAATCATTAAAACATGACAAAAGACCCTCACCAGTACTTATGTTCTGCTCCGGATCGGTGGAGATGTAGCTGCCCGTGGAGATTGTGGTGGAGGAGAGGCAGTCAGAATCAGGAGGCCTATTTGCAGACTGACACAATCATAAAGGCACCCAACATGAATATGTTAAAGTGATCAACAAGGGATTGAATGAAACACAGCACACAGACTCACTGAGCTCAGTTCAAGTGTAGAAACCCTCATGAACGCATTTCATTCAATACAACTCTGGTTGGGTCATTTTACATCATCGCTCAGAAACAGAACAACACATTCATATATGCACACGTATAAGTGAAGAGTTCTTTGCTCGATTTGTATATATTCTAGTGAGTGTTCAAAGTATTCAGATTATTAACTGAAATCAATTGTACCTACTCATTATGCAAAGACAATCCTGTTTAGTGGGTTTTTTCAATAAGCAGCTAAACTTTAGTAGGCCTACTTTAAATCTTCCAATTATTTGAAGACATATGTTGGGCTTTTGCGTTTGAATTTTCAGCACTGTACGTCGTGAAATTAATTGAATTTGTATTTGGTGGAAGACACACACATATAAACACACTGAGCTCAGTTCAAGTGTAGAAACCATCATAGATGCATTTTTTATTAAATACAATTCTGGTTGTGTTATTTCACATCATCACTCAGAAAACACACACACGCACACACACACACACAATGTTTATATTCTAGCCTGTGTTAGAAGTATTCAGATCAGTAAAATGTGCCTCCTCATTATGCAAAAGGGCCTGATTCATTTTGTTCCATAAGCAGCTAAACTAAAGTTATTAACAATGATTCCACTTGTTTAGAAACAGATTCTAATATAAGGTTTTTGCATTCAAATGTTCGGCACTGTACAAAATGTAATGAACAAAGTTACTTTAACCTATATTTAGTGAAAGACACATACATGCACACAGACTCACTGAGCTCAGTTCAAGTGTAGAAACCATCATTAAATGTATTCTTAAAAATACACTTTAGGTTGCAAAGATTTCACATCATTGCTCAGAATAAGGACACATACAGACACACACATGTGTCCGAGAGACTTGCCATCTTCATACACATTCACTAAAAGAAGAGCCAGGCAGTCAGGTTTGGCCACATGTCATCATTGATCCACAAGGTGTGAAACTCGTGTGTGAGTATTTCAAATGCAGAAAAAACACTATAACTATGGAATTAAATTAATATGTTTTTAGAATTTGTAAATTGTCAGTAGACACACTATTATTAATACTGTCTATAAAAGTGTCTAATAAGTGTTTACAAGCACAAGAGGCAGCTGCGCTTTCAGTGTATATTGGTAGTGCTGTAGCGACGCGTCGACGACTTCAAAATATCGTCGACGACATATTTCCGCGTCGACGCGTCGCTACACACACGTGGGTCACCCAAAGCAACAAGCAGTTCGCAATCGCACTTCAAACACAATGGAGACTGAAACGGCTACCACCTCCTCCTCACAGGATTGCGCACGAAGCCCCCAAACGAAAACATCTCGCCCTAGGTCTTCAAAAGCATGGGAATATTTTAAAGTTAGTCCAAAACGCAAAGATATTTATATATTTATATCTCACTGAGACTGCTGCATAGCCTAGCAGAAGCAGCAGCTAGCTGTGGTGGCTACCATTAGCAGCTAGCATTTGCTCTCCGATTTTTACAGAAAATGGAATTATGGATTATAAATTCAATCATTTTTTTATACATAGACGTTAAAAACCTATGGATTAACCGATTCAGCCGCGTTTTTTTCTCATTTTAATGCCATTGAACACGTCTTTTGATCAGATTGACAGCTTTGGTTGTGAGACGATCTCCCGAGAAGCTCTGTGAAGGTACGTGTTGTGATGACTGTATTTGCTTCCGCTGTCGCGAGTCCGGATCACTCAGTGATGATACTATATACCTACATAATCTGTGGAGTCTCAGCTTTAATCGGATATATTGTATGTGCAGCTACGATAAGTAATAAGGGTACTTTTATCTTGAGTTCTGTGCCAATGTCCGTTAGCATTTTTCGCTCAGGGGTCATTCAGATGCTTCTTATGAGACTTGTGTTTTGTTTTGGTAAACATGGTTTGTATCGTCAATTAGCTGAGATTATTTCCGTTAATCTGGTATAACACATTAATAGGTTCTTAAATATTAAGATCCCCTGAGACACAGTATCGTGAAAAAAAAATGTTTTACATTACGTTTTTTATGAATTGAATAACAGAAAAATAATCGTTAGATTAGTCGACTAATCGATCAAATAATCGCCCGATTAATCGTTTTCAAAATAATCGTTTCCCCCCAGCACTATATTGGCAAAAACGCTTTCTTCCTTCGTCACTTATATGATTCTGTTTTCTTCAAGGTTGTGTCTTCCTGGTCGAATGTACTTATTGTAAGTCGCTTTGGATAAAAGCGTCAGCTAAATGCAATGTAATGTAATGTAATGTAATGTCACTTCCTCAGTCTTTTGTCAAGGTTTGCCACTAGGGGGATGACTTATTCTAAGAGGAGGACAGAGTCTGAACTGAGTTGTGTGCAGTGCCTGGTTACCTCTGTGGGGGACCTGCAGCTTGTGATTCCAGGACCAGAGAAGTCGGCTCCTCTCCCAGAGTCAGAGGAAGGAGGGGAGATGATCCTCAGGATAGAATCTGGAAAACGAGAGTTGCAACCAAGAGGACAGATATTAATTTAGGCCCTTTTATGTTCTTCTCATCGGCATTATGTATCATCACTATTTATTTACCGTCTACATACCAGACTCTGAGGATTCTGGAGATGTTCCTGCTCCCACCAGCAGCCTCTCTCTCCAGAGGATATGGCTGGATGTTGATGAGTTTGTTTCAGGGCTGCTGGCAGTCTGCTGCCCACTGCTGTCAGAGACCACCGACGCTTCATAGTCCTCCTGTAGATCCCAGCGCAGAGAGTGTGAAGGAGCTGGTACACTACTCTCAGGACCTGGGGAAACATCAACAATCCAATCAATCGGTATCACTCTCCATAGGTGGTTAAACGTTGTTGGCATGTGAGGAACCAGGTGTCACTTCCTGCTGTTGAGCTGACCTTTTGATTGGCTGGTGTTGACTGACGTCTCCACTTCTTGAATAGCACTAAGCTCATGTTGTTCAGTCATCATCTCCATGATGCTCAGCCTGACACGGGTCACGGGGGGCTTTGCTGCTCGAGGAGGAGGGAGGAGTCCTGGGGGGGGAGCAGATGCTGGGGCAGCAGGAGCATCACTCTGAGCCATGAGAGGGTCTTCAAGGTGGGATAAAGTTCCTCCGTTAGTCTCCTCTATAGCTCTCAGCAGGGAGGCAAGTAACTTGAGACGGGTCTGCCTGATGCTCTCTGAATCCAAAACTCCTCTGGCAGCCTCTGGGAGTGGCTGTGGGCGAGACAAGGCATCAGGACAGTTGCTCTCCCAAATAAGCACACACTCATTGAGCTTAAATCAAATACACTTTAGGTCAGTTAATTTCACCTCATCACTCAGAAACAAGCACTGTTGTAATTTGTATTTGTGTATAAACTAAATGATTTGTCTGCTGTACTTTTGCAAAACCATAACAGCAGTGATAGTCCCGCCACTTACTTGTTCTTCAGTTTGAATGAGAGCCTGCAACGTCTCCTTTTGCCGCCTCATCTGCTCCATCTCCACTTCCTGTTGTCGCCTCTCCTCCTCCTGCTGCCTCTGCTGCAGGGCCACCCCCTCCCTCTGCTCCAGCAGCCGTCTCTGGACGTCCTGCAGCTCCCGTCTCTGGACGTCCTGCAGCTCTCGTCTCTGGACCTCCTGCAGCTCTGGTCTCTGGACGTCCTGCAGCTCTGGTCTCTGGACGTCCTGCAGCTCTGGTCTCTGAACCTCCTGCAGCTCTGGTCTCTGGACCTCCTGCAGCTCTCGTCTCTGGAGCTCCTGCAGCTCTCGTCTCTGGAGCTCCTGCAGCTCTCGTCTCTGGAGCTCCTGCAGCTCTCGTCTCTGGACCTCCTGCAGCTCTCGTCTCTGGACCTCCTGCAGCTCTCGTCTCTGGAGCTCCTGCAGCTCTCGTCTCTGGACGTCCTGCAGCTCCCGTCTCTGGACGTCCTGCAGCTCCCGTCTCTGGACGTCCTGCAGCTCTCGTCTCTGGAGCTCCTGCAGCTCTCGTCTCTGGACGTCCTGCAGCTCTCGTCTCTGGACCTCCTGCAGCTCTCGTCTCTGGACGTCCTGCAGCTCTGGTCTCTGGACGTCCTGCAGCTCTGGTCTCTGGACGTCCTGCAGCTCTGGTCTCTGGACGTCCTGCAGCTCTCTTCTCTGGACGTCCTGCAGCTCTCTTCTCTGGACGTCCTGCAGCTCTCGTCTCTGGACGTCCTGCAGCTCTGGTCTCTGGACCTCCTGCAGCTCTCGTCTCTGGACCTCCTGCAGCTCTCGTCTCTGGACGTCCTGCAGCTCCCGTCTCTGGACGTCCTGCAGCTCTCGTCTCTGGACATCCTGCAGCTCTCGTCTCTGGACGTCCTGCAGCTCTCGTCTCTGGACGTCCTGCAGCTCTGGTCTCTGGACGTCCTGCAGCTCTCGTCTCTGGACGTCCTGCAGCTCTCGTCTCTGGACGTCCTGCAGCTCTGGTCTCTGGACGTCCTGCAGCTCTCGTCTCTGGACCTCCTGCAGCTCTCGTCTCTGGACCTCCTGCAGCTCCCGTCTCTGGACGTCCTGCAGCTCTCGTCTCTGGACGTCCTGCAGCTCTCGTCTCTGGACGTCCTGCAGCTCTCGTCTCTGCCTCTCCATCCTGTCGTCCTCTGTGGAGCTGAGGGACCCGGTCCGTAGGGAACAATGTGGCAGGGTCACAGGCCTAACAGTTTCTGGAACTGGAGCCAGAGGTGCACCAGAGGTGATGATGGAGCTACTGCCTTGGATTGGATCAGAGGTTGGCTGCAGTGTGATGCTGGCTGAGTGACGTGTTGCTCTCACTCTCTCTGTGAGATGCCCTGTGACTCTCTCCATGATGTTGTCTGTCAGCCAGGCAGTGAACTTCTGGTTCCTGGGATTGCTTGAAATATATTCAACTTCATCTGGCATCAACTTGGAGGCAGAGCTTATATTTGAGCTAGGAGGTTGTGAATGTGAAGCTAACATGTCCGACTCTCTTGTGGGAACTTCCACAGGTGTTTGTGCTTTGGCGTGGATGTATGCCTGCGAGGCCGGAGGTGTAGGGAGCTGCAGAGGAGCTGGAGGATGCACAGACTGAACACCGTGCAGAGGGGGGGGAAAGAGGCCTGGAGGCACTGCAGCAGGCAGTAAAGATGTGGGGATCATGTTGTAGCGAATCCGTAGAGCTCGCTGGTATTCCTCTAGGCGCTGACGGGCCACTTCCACTGACCTCTGGTGAAGGCTGAAATAAAGACCGTCAGCTTTATTTATAGAGCCCAATCTCGGTGCATCAAGGAGCTTTAAAATTAGAGCATACAATACCCTCCAAACTAAATAAAATCCTCTAAAACTTCATAAATATAGGTAAAAGTAGCACTCAAAAGGTTTATTTCTTTGTCAGCTGATGAGATTTACTTTTAAACATAATCGCAAGGAAAAGTGGTAAAAGTGACTGGCTAAATGAATAAATGTAGTTTATAGTCAGGATTTAAAAACACACCTGTTTTGCTGCAGCAGTCGCTGTTGGTACTCTCTGATCCTTCTGGCGTGCTCATCTTCACCTGCAGGAGGCACCAGCTGTCAAAGAGTGGTGAAGAAGCAGCCATCACTGAAGTTATTTTTCTGACCGTACTTCACATAAGATATCTTAAAGGATAAAACAGATCTGACAGGAATATTAGTAGTTCAGAGAAAAAATGAGAACAGGTTAACCAGGGATAGCTTTAATGCTCAAAGGCCTACCTCAGGAGGGACAGAGGGGGCTTCCTGCTCATGGACGGGTACTTCTGGTTGGTTGATAGGAGCCTCCTGGGTCACAGCAGCCTTCAGCTCTTCTCTCTCCTGCTGAGCCTCAAGCAGCATCTGCTCCAATTTGGCTTTCTGCTCTTCAAGCTCCTGGAGCAAAACCACCTGCTGCTGCTTCTCTCTCTCGAGCTCCTCATCCTGAACAGAAAAACAAGTTTAAAAACAGCAATCATGTTACATGTAGGGTAGATCACAAACCAACATGTTCAACTGAGCCCCTAATTACTGACTGAATATCTAATGTTAAGTAGAGGTTAAATAAACAGATATGGTACTTGACAGGCAGTTTGACTGAAAGGAGAGAGCCCACAAAATAAAATCTGTACGTCCTGCACCACGGCGAGCAGGTACTTCCTTGTATGAAATGTAGAATTAAGAAGATCATCCTTCTCCACAGGAATTCCCAGGCAGCCCAGATTGAGGCTCCTGTCTGTGTCCTATTTATGTGCAACTTTATTTGGATTACTTTGTTGTTTTTCTTCAGTGTACTAGCTTAAAAACAGGTAACCAAGCCGTGGTCTGAAGTTATTGAAAAAGACAACATGTTCAAAGCAGAACCAAAAGTCATGCACGAGGAATGGTGCCTGCCACACTGCTGCTTTAGGAGCTGGGCTGATTGAGTAACAAGGAACACCTGGATAAAGGCATTCTGACCTATCAGGAAAATGCATCAAGCCTCTGGGATAACAAATGAAGCCGACTTTAAAAAACTGTGGAACAGTGAATACAGAAGGACCTTTGACAAAGAGTGTGACATAAAGAAACCTCTCACTTATCAACCTACTGCTTCTTATAATGAACTTCTTTGTTGTCATTTCAAGTGATGAAACAAACCCACAGACAATGACAGACTAAACCACAGAGATTCACCATTTTAGTAAGCTTAAAAGCAAACTGCTTGTTTCCATTGAGAATCTGACCTTCCAGTGTTTGCAATAATACGTTTCACAATGGGATTTGGAGCACAAGCATTTCAAGCTGTCAGCTGATCTGCTCCTATTTATGTATAGTGTAGGAAAAGAGTTCCCGCTCAGTATCACATAAATGGGAAGAGACACATACCCTTTTCTTTCGTTCTTCTTCAAACTGTTTTATTCTGTTGGCAAGTCCATCTGGAAGTTGAGTTTCTGCTGCAGCTGGCGGCTCCGTTGTCTTCAACTCTGGTTGAATAAAATAGAGGAGAACATGAAATGAACTGTTACTAAGTTTATCCTTATATGGCAGTTGAAGAGAAGGGGGGTCATTTACTGAGAAGAAAAACAAAATGACCAAGATTAGAGTTGTACATAGATAATTGAAATGTTGAAGAATAAATAAACGGTATTAAAATGGCTTCACTTTGTAAGGTCGGATAGTGTTGTAGTTCCTGATGCACAAAGGTGTGTCATAGCTTTTGATAATATGGGGAGTCTGGGCTAAAATCACAAGTATTTTCTTGTTGCAAAGTTTGAGTGCAAAGTATATTTGGATTAGGTATTCCGACTACAAGCATAATATGATATTTGGTGTAAAAACAGAAGAATAATATAAAAACAGGGTGAAAAAACAATCTCAATATTCTCAAATATCAAACTTCTATCACAATGATTGTATTATAGTGTGAAGAGTGTGAGCTACCTGGTGGGGAGGGGGCAGGCTCCAGGCTGTGTGTCTCCTCGCTGCTCAGAGAGCCTGTGTCGATGGTGGTGTCCCGCTCTGGGATCTGATCTGTGATGGAGGTCGGTGGTTCGGCTGCAGGAACAGAGTTCTGCTCAGTCCAATGGTTCCTCTGGTTCCTGATACGATCCAAGAGCTTCCTTAACGCCTGTCTAGGAGCAGGCTTGGAGGGCTCCACTGCAACCAAAAAACATGAGTGAAGTTTCGGCTTGGTAAAGATGAGTATCAAGGACATCACGTGATGTGTGTATTGATTCTGTGTATATCCCAAAAACTTTACAAACCTTGCTGAAACCCTTAAAACCTGTGAGTTTAGGTTGTATCTGCTGCCTCTCTTTACCTTGAACGGATGTTTCCTGCTCGGGGTCATATTGTGTGGTTCCTGCTCCTTGTGGGGGGATTTCATCCTGCGTGACGTCCAGCTCCTGGTCCTGGCTCCCTGTGGACAGAGCCGGCAGAGGCTCTGGAACCAGCTGCACCACCAGGTCTCCTTTAACCCCTGCCATCAGACACAGTCAATCTTTAAGGGAGCTCCAATAAAATGTTAATAGTTAAGCCACATGTTCTGGCTACTTAGAAATTGGGTGCATGGATTCAAGCAGAGCCACAAATGGTCCACAACCTTGAGAAATATGCAATTTACCTTTTATTTGTTCCTTTTCTAGGTGTGTTTCATGTCACGGAAAGCCGTGTTGTTAACCAGTATAAATGTTACATGGTTTCCTCTTTTTTATATGTTACCTTCTTTGTCTAACTTCTCAAGCTCTCATACGAGAGTGTGGGATTATTTGAGCAGTGGAAAGACTATCAATAAAGCTTTTGGTGAGTTTTACTTACTCCTCTCTCCTGTGTACATGTCCTCAAAGGCAAACTCCATCTCCCTCTGGTAGTCCTCTGCTGTCTCCTGTCTCTTATAGAGAGGCTGGAAGATCTGAGCAGGCATCTGGAAAACCTGCTGCCTCCTCCTGAGCAGGTCTGTCTGCTGCATGTGCTCCAGTTCAACAAGCAAGCGCTCTCGATCCTAAGGGTTGTCACCAAAAACAGATTAGACATAAAAGGCCATAATCATTTGTGTTTCTATGACACAAATCTGTAAATTATTCAGAATGAGAATACCTTAATAAGTCCTGCAGTGGGGACATGTACCGGGTTACAAGCAAAAGTGGCAAAGCAGGTAAAAAAAGTGATATATAATCTTTACATAAGAGGTCAATCTGTCTACTATGGCTAATGCTGTTGTCCTGCTATCAGTCAACAGTGTTTTCACCACAGTGATGGCAAGTAGCTTTGGAGCATATCATCTGTCAGATACATGTGAACAATGTTGGTGTGTATATCTTCTAACAAAGTAAGATGTGAGTTAACCTGCTCCAGATGTTCCCTCCTCAGCGCCTGCTTCCCTCTAAGACGAGCCTTCTCCAACTGCTCCTCTCGCCTCCTCATTTCCTCCTTCTTTAAATCCTGCAGCCTCCTCACCTCCAGCTCAGCTCCCTCATGGGCACTGGGCTGATGACACAAGTACAGGTTAGACATCCCAACAGGAGGAGAGAACCAAAGCGGGGGTTATGTAAATACAATAATCAGAGATCTTACCTGCTCTGTGTCTGCCTCTCTGTCCACTGTGCTGTCAGGCATATGATAATGCGTGGCTGCGAAAGCACTCACATCAGATTTCTTCACTACATGTGGCTTCTTGAAATCAATGCTCTGCTTGAACAAAAAGACAATGTTACCATGACTACATTACAAACCTGTGAAACTTGAAAGGTATGACTTTTATTTTGTAAAAGTTGAAAGGCTGATCACTTCTGTAAATGATAAAGGTCAGCTTGCAAATCCAGGTGGCTTATCAGGCCAACAGGAAAACAGTGTAACTCATATAAGTGGTGGGGAGAATCACCTGAATTGGGTGTGGGGGGGGCTTAGGGAGACTGGCCACTTTTGCTGATCTTTCCTTTTCTGTCTGTAGTGCCTTCTTCCTGGCCATGGTCGATCTACAGACAAACATATGCATAGACTTGTTGTTAAGTTCATTTTGATCAAATGCATGATAATGTTTTTGGAGCAATTGTTTCTGCTGCTCACCGGCTTTGCCCCTCATGGTCTTTAAGCCTCTGTGTTTTGAGCTCCTTCATGGCTTCCCGGTAACGCTCCTCTGCTTTGACGTTATTTTCCTCCTCCCTCTGAGCTATGGCTTCCAAGTCGGGTTCCTTCAAATAAATTGACCACAGAAATATTAAATGATTTGGAAAATGTATTAATCTTTATGTGATGGTCTTGTTCACATTTTGGTTTCAGCTGTTCCTCGTCTTGGAGTTAATCTTAGGTTCAGAGTCAACAAAGTAAACAGAGGTCAGGGACAGCTTCAAAGGGTGTATTGTGTTCAATTCATGGAACAGAAACTCTAGCTAATGAAGACAGCCGGGTAAAGCTTCTTGTAATCTTACATTTTCTTTTGCACTCATGTGTCCCTGGCCGAGCAGCTGGAGGCTCTCCTGGTATAATGTCTGCAGGGTGTGAAGTTTGTCCCTCTGCTGCCGCTCCCAGTCCTCCCTCAGGTCCTTCTCCAGCTGCTCCAGCTCACACTGCCGCCTGCGCTCCACCTCTCTGCAGATCTGTAGCGAGATATACCGCTGCTGCTCCCGCACCTGGAGGTCAATGCAAAATATAAATACATACCAACTCTGAGGTTAAAGAACCATTTCATTTATCACCTGTCCCTCAGATTTTTGAATGTTTGTAACTGACATTTAGGAGAGTACAATACTAAAAAGGTGAATTTACTATGAAGCCATGGATCAAAGTCCATTATTGGGTTAATTTTCACACACATTTGGAGTTGATTACCGTGGATTGCCATTGGACTGAAAATAAAAACTGCAAACTATGCCAAAAAGTAACAAGTACAGTAGTGACTGTAACACTGATCCTGAGCTGAACCCTTAATATACCAGGTCAGACTTCCTTTATGGAATAGAATTTCCAGACTACTCGTTACTGCAGTCTTTTGTTAATTCAAAATGTAATCTAAATACAATCATTCGTTACTTTTTTGCCTGAAGTTTTAGTAGTTAATTGCATGCTATAGGCACAAAAAAAAGTGAATAACCTCCTGATTTACGATGCATATATGAATGAAAATATGCTCAAACTTTACTAGTTAAATTACATGTAAAGCAATTAGTTACTCACCAACAATGCATATACACTTTCTTAATTTAATAATTATTTCTGTGCAAAGCAGTTAAAAGCTTGAGTTGATCTTTATCCACCTATGCTCAGTGTTTTCAGATGTCTTTGTGCATTGATCGGTGTCTGAGAATCCTTCCACATCACCGCCTTACCTGCTGAATCCGCAGCTTCCTCCTCCTCTCATGCTCCTCTCGTATTATCCGAGCCTCTTCGTTAGGGCTCAGTCTCAGTTTAGCCACTTTCCTCTTCATCTTCTTCAAAATGTACTAAGAGACATTTCCCAGAAAGCTAAAAACTGTTAGCAACTCCGTTAGCCCTGGGAGTTGTTATTGGCTAGTTAGCATGTTGTTGAAGGCATCAACTAACAGCATGATTTATTAGACAGGCGTTTAAGGACTGGTTGAAACATTTGAATTATTTATGAAAATACCCAAGAAGCTCCGACAGGAGACCAAATCCATGTCGTACTTTTTGTTTATCACCAGAAAGCCATGCCAACCTTAAAAAGGGAGTTATTGTCCTAAACAACGTCACATCCGGTAGTTTAAACTGCCCGCTTTACCCGTTCCGTGCTGATCAAAATACGTCAAGGTTCCTGACACTAAGGCCCGATCCCAAACCACTCCCTCGACCCTACCCCTCCGTGACGGAGTGAACTCCGTCTGTAGCCACACTCGCAGCTCAACGAGGCTCCGGTTGCGGTCGGATAATCCAAACATCAGCTCCTAATGTCTAACCCTTTCTCCTATTCCTTGACCTCTGAGTGAAACGTCACGGGGTTAAGGGATAGTGGATAGGAGAATTCAAAAGGACTTAGGAGAAGAGACTTTGGTACTTTAGAGAATCGACTGCACTTTCACTATCCGACGTGTTTATGATGCTCCAGCGGACGTCATGAATGTGCGTCTGCTGCTGTGGGGAAACTATAGAAACTACAGTTTTCTATACAGCGGACTACAACATGGATGTTTAATAAGAACGAGGGACTACTGTAAACTCATCTAGAGACTCTGCACCGTGCTCTGATGCTGTTGCTTTATGCTTTATGAACGTGGACAACAGAGAAACATATTCTTCATGACCAAAGTTGGAATTGAAATAAAAAAGGAAAGTGAAACTTATGCTCGTCACCCTCTCCCTCCGGTCCACATTAATACAAATGATCCCAATACGTATGATTGTATGAACTATGGAAATATCGTAAATTTAGAGAATTCGAACGGCACTTATCATGGCTGCCACTGAAGGACTTACGGGTCATTTCACTCCGTTAGGAAGGTTCCTAAGCCCAGTCTATAGAGGTTTCTCAATTCTTAAATGTTCCCTCCTCGACTCCTATTCTCGATACTTAGTCCCGCCCACAGGAGATGCGAGCGGAGGACTGAGGAGGGGAACCGATGAGAGAGGAGTGGAAGCAGCAGGCGGTTAGAGCAATGAGAACTCCTCTCCTCTGAGCGGTCATTTTAAAGAGACGTCCATTAATGATGACATGAGGCACAGCAGCCCTCTGTCTGATGGACAGATGTGTTCATGACCACTTATATATTTACTTTGATTCATTCACAGTGCGGTATAATGAGACAATAACAGGCTACAGATGCGGACACACACACACACACATATATTTATATAAATATATACAATTTCAGAATCAAACAAGTATGAGAGCACTCTCATAATAACACAATCAGAGACTGGATATATCCCTTTTGAGGTTTAGGATGGCAGCTTCTTCTTACGCTGCACTCGGAGAGAAATATTGGAGACGGAGATGATGAACTGTTTAGCCCTTGAGCATGATTTATTCCTCTGCTTCACAGGTGATTCCTTCGCTCAGCCGAGCTAATTTAGAAGAGAACAAACATAGACAGTGTACACGTGCATACATACAGTCGGCGTCGCGTCACAGTTGGGGGCGGGGCATTTCGAGGGGGGAAACAATCCTTTCCCCCTCGCCCGGAGCACTGTAAGCGCGCGGATTTGAAATGTTAAACAAACATGTCATACATTGATTAATTGCAGCCCATTTCCAGGGATAGATACCTTAACATTTTGTATTTAATAGGATCGGATTCTTGTCCATATCTTATTAAAGAGTGGACGAATGATCCGACTGCACCTCTATGGTACCCATGTACATGTCAAAATTCTTCCCAAAGGTCAAGGAATACCATGATCATAACACCAGAGGGAGCTCCACAAATCATGTGAAACCCAGATTTGGCACAAAAAAGGGGGGAATACACGTTTCGCAATTATGCCACATCAAGGTGGAACGCTCTTTCCACAACTGTAAAGGAAAGTAAAACTATACTTACCTTCAAAACCTCTCTTAAAGAGCACCTTCGGGGGAGAGCATTGCAAAACTGGCCCCGGTAATGGTACAAATCTCAACCTGTCGTTCAATGGACAGCTTCCCCCTCCCCCCCCCCCCCCCATCTATGTATATACTCGCATTTAGACTCTGTTACTAACTGTATATCTGTAGACTTGGTATGTCTTAAATGTCCGGTTAGGATGTATTAGAAACGAAATCTAAAATGAAAATTGTAAATAAGCAATCTGTATGTAAAAAACCACCTGTATGTAAATTGTAAATAAGCCATCTGTATGTCAAATATGTCTTAAATGACATGATGAATTGGAAATGGGGGACCCTGATGTAAACAAGACGAAAGTCTTTCTCTGGTCTGCATCCCCTTAACAATTGTATGTTTTGAGCTGTACTGTACTGTACCCAATATACAAGCTGTTAATAAACTTTTCAATCAATCAATCAATCACTGAATGGCCTGAAGTTTCATTCCCTGATATCTTCTGCTACCTGCTTGAATCACCCGGTAAGAGGCAAAATCACGTTAACTGATGAATTAAACCTCACATAATTTATATGTCTAACAAGGAAATTAGCACGTTTTAGTGAATTTGTTCATCACACAATGGTTGTTATTGCACAATAGCCATCATGAGCTGCATACATATTGGTTATTGACGACTCGGTACGTTATCACGCAGGGATTTACACACACACGCCTAAAGAACTATCGGTCCCTGGAGGCACACAACTTTTTTACAAGTGGCTTTGTTGGAGTTGTGCTCCATCATAAACTACCTTCATCGGATACCTACCTGTTCCGATGTGATGTCAAGCCATCCTGGAGGGTGACAGAGAAGCCGCAAAGGCTGGCTTCCGCATCTGCCAAACTATGCTATACCTGGGGGTTTCATGTGATGGCTATGTTTCCTGTGACTGCTGTGGTGAGGGTGTTATAGAGGCTAAGTGTCCTTACAGGTGGGGGCAAGACACCTCTACTGGGTATCAACAGTGGCTTGAGGACAAAAGAGGACATCTGGAAAGTCTGACAAGCTTAAAGAGAAGTCATGCATATTTCACTCAGGTATTTCAATATTTCACCTGCATATACCTGCACACCTCTAATAAGTCTGCAGCATTTTGTGCAATTATCCAAGATAATTATCCACAGATGGCATACTGTCTATAATGTACATATTAGTGTTATGATGATTGCATTGCATTTGATTGCATTGCATTTGACAGGTCCAAATGCAGATGTTTGTTACCAAACGGATGTATGCAGACTTCATCACTTGGACTCCTCAGACCTGCCTGATATTCAGAGTACAAAGAGATGAGGACTTCATCAGTGGTGCCATTAATGTGATGCAAACATTTTGGTCACAACACATACTACACAAACTTCGGGAGCTGAAAGATGCACAGGTAGGTGGTGGAATTTCCTATCAGTGTAAAAATGGCAACAAATAAGTCACTGTGACAGAGTTACATATTTATTTATACCAATTCATTTTGAAGCATATTATAGCTATTTCATTCAGTATCAACATAGACTACTAGACTATATGTACGAAATCAAATATCACAAAGCCTATATATTTATTTACAACATGAAAACATACATAGGCTACAAATAGAATGAATAATGGGCTGTACAATATTGTCTATACTTGTGACTTTGATACTAATCAGATAATAATTGTTGATATTGTTGATCAAATTGTTCTTGTGTTATTTTCAAAGGGGGTGTACTCATTTATGATAAGCACTGTATATGTTTCTGCTAAGTAGGCAGAACACAGTCCAGTCGAAAGCAGCACAGGGAGTGACCCATCAGGCAACACAAGTGGCAGCAGAACATCAGGCAACAGAAGCAGAGCGTCAGGCATCAGAGGCAGAGCGTCAGGCATCAGAGGCAGAGCGTCAGGCATCAGAGGCAGAGCGTCAGGCATCAGAGGCAGGGCGACAGGCATCAGAGGCAGGGCGACAGGCATCAGAGGCAGAGCGTCAGGCATCAGAGGCAGGGCGACAGGCATCAGAGGCAGAGCGTCAGGCATCAGAGGCACACCCTCATTTACATGACGCAAGACTGGTCATTACGTAGCACGTAATACTACAGTGCCTCACAGTGGTACAATAACAGTATTACATCCCTATACAGAATAGACCATAGACTGTATATATAAATGGACGTAGGGTCCGTGACGTCACCCATAGAATTCTGCAGAGTTGCCGAGAAGCCCTTAGTAGGCGGAGTCGGCCACTAACGGCTCGACAGTGACGTCAGAGTTCAACTCCCGCCTGCTCCAAAGAAGGGCAAAGAGGCGGAGCCGAGGCGGGAGCTGCTGCCATCGAGTTGGAAGTTCCAGAGCTAGCTGAAGCTACCAAGCTAAGCTAACATGCTCCCCGTCTGCACGCTGCCGTCGCATTTTACGTTTCTAAGGTAAGCGGACATGAAACTATTCAGCAAAACTATAAATAATAATCTAAGTTATTGAGTTTTTAGCATAATACTTCAGAATCTTAAAACCCCTTAACGTTTGTATGCAATTGTGCTAAATTCAACACTGGAATCAAGCAAATATTAATATGTTTGCATGACATTAGTTATTTATATTTTGATATCACTTAACTATACGTTTAATACATTTAAGTCAAGCTAAGGTACATGTGATGGTAGCTAGTTAGTGCTCTTACCTGTGAGGCCTCCTCCAAACAGCATAATAACCATCATTAAAACTAAGTACCAGTTCTAGATCCTTGACTTTAGACAAACAATTCAAAAGACAAAATGTATTTAAAGACCAATCTTTATTTGAATGTGCCTCTTAACCTGAGATATTAGTTATACAGTAATAGTATTGACAATCTAAAAAAACTGAGCAACTCAACTTTATGTTTCTTATTGTCTAAAGCATTTATTATTTTCATTTTCCCCCTCTCATATTCAGTGCGGACGGATTGAGACAGCGTGGTGTCCAGAGAGCTGCAGAGACTTCAGGGAGAAACCTCTGTGTGATGGACGTCCTGTCTGTTGGTTTGGAGAGGACTGAGGGTCTTTCCTCTGCGAGGAGGACCAGGCCTGATGGATGAGCCCATGCTGGGCAAAGCTGATACCAACTGCACAGGCCTAGTCTGTCACTTTATTTGACTAAATGTGTTTACTTATACATTAAATAGGTTTACACCTTCTGTCCATATGTGCTTTTTATTTAAAACATGTTTGATTAACTTTTGGTTCACATTTCAATAAATTGTATTTGCACTCCTTTCGTCCATTATTCTTACTGAAAGTGTTAGATTACACATTCACATCTGACTGAAGATTGGCCCCATTTATTTGTGACGTTGCAAACTCTGCGGTACAAGGCACAAGTGATGTGAAGCTCATAAAGTGAGGCAAAT